CCCCAATGGCCTGGGCCCAAGCGATCCCAAAGACCGTATGTCCCCTCAGGAGCCGGCTTGGGTGTTCCAGTAATCTCCAAGTTGCACCCCCATCGCAGGTGCCTTTGGTGGGGGCCCGGCTGGCCCCTTCTGGGCAGTCCTGCTGCAAGCAGGCGGGTATTTTTCTCTTCAGGCCAGCTTTCCCTGAGGGAAGGGGCTTTTAAAATCCCGTGTTGTGCTTCACTGCTTTGAATGTTATTTTTTTCTTTTGCCCTTTTTTTTTACCCTTTTCAGTGTAGTATTTGTTTGATCCTTTAAAATATCTGTATACTTACTGTTAGCTCTAAATATTGATCTTAACTATGTTAGCTGCTTTGAGTACTTTTTGGGGAGAAAGGTGAGGTGAAAATGTTTTAAATAAAAATAGACTTGGGGGCCTAGGCTATTGCAGTGATCAATCCTTTCTGGGTTTATAGGATGGCTGGCTGTTTCATGATGTTGGCAGTAGGTGGGGCTGGTGGACTCAAAAATACACAACATGCTTTGCCTTTTTCCATACTGTTTACTTATTTACTTATTTATTAAATTTATACCCCACCCATTCATACTGTGTTTTCCCAAATGTAAGACAGGGTCTTATATTAATTTCGCTCCAGAAAATGTATTAGGGGTTATTTTCAGGGGGTGTTTTATTTTTTTCATGTGCAACGATGTACAGTTATTCAAATACAGTCCTGTCATCTTCTTCTGGTTGCTGCACAAGGGTGGAAGGCGGGGTTTCACTTAACTGGGGCTTATTTTTGGGGTATGCTGAAAAATCATACTAGGGCTTATTTTCAGGTTAGGGCTTATTTTCAGGGAAACAGGGTAGTTCATGAAAATTCTCATGCAGTCCCTACCTTTGCAATGTGAGGAATGCATATAGATTTAGGGTGCATGACTATGTATCACTTTGGGCAGCAGAGGCCTAATGCTTCTTTATACCATTTGCTGGGGAACACCTCAGAGAAGATGCTATTATGCTCACACCCTGCTTGTGGTCACACCAGAGGTATCTTGTTGGCCCGTGTCTGATCAGAATGTCAGCTTAGAGAGGCCTGTGGCCTAGTACAGCACAGATCTTTTAGTGCTTTGGTGTTATGGTGGCTAGGCCTAGATGCCGAATGCACCCGCCTCTTTGACCAAAGGTTATCTTTCACACAAACCATGGCTGTCTTGATCCAGTTTCTAGTGAACCACAAGAGGCTGTCCAGGGTCCTGATTTCCCTATTTTAGATGACATTTCAGTGCCTGAAGCAAACGCCTGATATGTTTGCCTTTCTGCCTCTCTTTATTTTACTGGGCTAGACAGCTTCTCCTCCTCCACTGGCCTTGTAAGTTGTTGTCCTCCTCCCGAGCTTCCTTCATGTCACTGGCTAGTATTCCTGCCAACTCAACTTGCTAGTCAGCATCCATGTTTGTCTAAATGGGTGGTTACTCCTCTTGCTTGCTGGTTGCAACCCTCAACTGTGCCACTGCTAATGAGATCCTATATACTGTACATTGCCTGATCTTGTCTCATCACAATATGAACCTCTCCCTCTTTTTATCTACCCATACTATGCCTAAGCAGAAGGCAGTTAATGGAAGACAGGCAGAAGATTCAATCCCTGGCTTTTCAGGTCGGGCAAAGGAAGATTCCTGCCTGAAACCCTGGATTTTTGTTGGCAAACGTAGGCAGCACAGAGGCGCCCGATTTAGTTGTAGAGTGAATTGCCCCTTTAAATGTAAGAGATACACCTAATCTTGTGCACTTCTTCCAGAGACGTTCATTGGTGCGCCGGCAACCTGAACAGCGAATGCATTTTCTATTGCCGAACTCCACTGAAAGCTCTCCAAGAATAAAGGAAAGAGACATGTATGATGAGGTAATGGCAAAAGCAAATGAGGGGGGAAGGCAAAGTGTGAAGACAGGAATTTTGAGGCACTTACTTTTCAACCAAAGTTCTTCTGTTAGGTGAAATGAGAGAGTGGGGGCTTTTCAAGTAAGGAGAGTTGAAAATAAGCTCACAAATCTTTGTTCTGTTTGTTAAATGGTTTTTAATGTTATTCTTCCACCTAGTTTGCCAGGACACCTGAAATGACCAGCTTCTCCTACGGTAAGCAGTTAATTCTAACCCTGCTAGACAAAATCAGGGCATAAAATGAGTCTCTGGGATTTTTCTACATGTGTAACATTGTTTGGATAGCAGGCCTGCATGTGCTCGTCAAAGGTCTCAAGGGAGACAGCCTGCTGACCGTGTGGTGCTGTTCAAATAAGCCAGAACCCTAGAACTATTTCCCTCTAAATCACAGTAGGCTAATGTGGTGACAAAGGGGTGACGTTCAGCAGGAAAAGTGTATTGGATCCCCAGTCTGGATAAGGGCCACATTCCAAACTAGGTCCCCATAGCTGCTTTTTCTTAAATGTAAGTAACTTGTAAACACTGTTAAATAATATAGTTGGCTTTGGGATCTGTGAACAAAATAGGACTTGAAGGTAAGCCATATTCCACAGGCATGTTAATTAGAAAAACGTAACTTTACATCCTGCCAGTAATCACAGAGTTCTTTATTCGTGATGTCTGTGGAAGCCTATATGGTATGGACCTTCTGCATGGTGTAGCAGCCCCAATTAAACACATTGGATATAGAGAGGTGAATCTCTACAGAAGTCTAAGGAAGAAAATGTGCTTTCCTCAGATATCCATATGGAAGCATGGTAACAGGAGATGGGATCAAAGGAAGCTGAGTATTGTCAGGGACAGGATGAAAGGAAATCCCCTTTATGCACACTTTACATCACTCATGTAACATCTGAGGGGGCTACCATCTAATCAGGTTTTTATGTTGCTATTTTACTATGTTTATCTTTGATTATAACAGTTAAAGAAGATGGGCAGTCAGCCAGGAATGCTGGGACTTCTGAAGCTTTAACTTTGGCTCTGCGAGCTAGGCAAGAGGCTGAATGGGAAATGGATGATGAAGAAAGTTCATGAAATCAAAGATGTATAAAATGCAACAAGAAGCTGTCGCAGCTCAGAGCTCTGTTATTTGCACTTTGTTAAATGGTTTTTAATGTTATTCTTCCACCTAGTTTGCCAGGACACCTGAAATGACCAGCTTCTCCTACGGTAAGCAGTTAATTCTAACCCTGCTAGACAAAATCAGGGCATAAAATGAGTCTCTGGGATTTTTCTACATGTGTAACATTGTTTGGATAGCAGGCCTGCATGTGCTCGTCAAAGGTCTCAAGGGAGACAGCCTGCTGAACGTGTGGTGCTGTTCAAATAAGCCAGAACCCTAGAACTATTTCCCTCTAAATCACAGTAGGCTAATGTGGTGACAAAGGGGTGACGTTCAGCAGGAAATGTGTATTGGATCCCCAGTCTGGATAAGGGCCACATTCCAAACTAGGTCCCCATAGCTGCTTTTTCTTAAATGTAAGTAACTTGTAAACACTGTTAAATAATATAGTTGGCTTTGGGATCTGTGAACAAAATAGGACTTGAAGGTAAGCCATATTCCACAGGCATGTTAATTAGAAAAACGTAACTTTACATCCTGCCAGTAATCACACAGAGTTCTTTATTCGTGATGTCTGTGGAAGCCTATATGGTATGGACCTTCTGCATGGTGTAGCAGCCCCAATTAAACACATTGGATATAGAGAGGTGAATCTCTACAGAAGTCTAAGGAAGAAAATGTGCTTTCCTCAGATATCCATATGGAAGCATGGTAACAGGAGATGGGATCAAAGGAAGCTGAGTATTGTCAGGGACAGGATGAAAGGAAATCCCCTTTATGCACACTTTACATCACTCATGTAACATCTGAGGGGGCTACCATCTAATCAGGTTTTTATGTTGTTATTTTACTATGTTTATCTTTGATTACAGCAGTTAAAGAAGATGGGCAGTCAGCCAGGAATGCTGGGACTTCTGAAGCTTTAACTTTGGCTCTGCGAGCTAGGCAAGAGGCTGAATGGGAAATGGATGATGAAGAAAGTTCATGAAATCAAAGATGTATAAAATGCAACAAGAAGCTGTCGCAGCTCAGAGCTCTGCTATTTGCACTAACATGTAGGAACGAAAAGAATTTTAAATACCAAGGGTTGTATTAAAATGACAAGTTTTCTGTGATTTCAATTTTGCTTTACTATGACTTTTGAAAGCCCAGTGCAACAGACGGAACACAGAATGAGCGTCTTCAGAAAACAGGAATCTCTGACCCCTCCCAAGTGCAAAATCTGCACTTGAGGCAACAGTGAGACTGAGCACCTTTTTCATGGAACTCTTTTTACTGGATTCAGTAATTTATCCCTTGATACTTGCCAAGTATAGCTCTATAAACATTTGTAATCTTCTCTCCAAACTGCTTTATTTTTGCTGTTCTGAACTGAATGTTTTTACAGAATCTGAACAGGTATAAAGAATGATAAAGCAAGTTTGATTCTTTTAAATCCCAAATACACTGGGTTACTACTGTGAAATGTAAGTCTGATCATACATTTCTTACTTCATCTCTGCTTGAAGTAAACCTTTTGGACAGAACAATGACTGACATTACATCACTTCCAAAACAGATGCTGTAACTTTTAAACAGAAAGCTATTTTATCTGTTACTTTGCAGCTGCACACTTTGAATCATCTGACAAGGACCATCGTATTTCCCATATCAGTAGTGGCAGTTTTGGTTGCCATCTGGCCTGGCTTCTGCTCTCAATATCAGTAGTGGCAGTTTTGGTTGCCATCGGCCTGGCTTCTGCTCTGTTAGGCTGCCCGTCTGAACTCTAAACAAGAAACCAAATAATAATATTGAGGCTTGTGATTTGCTCCCTTTGCCCAGATCCTAATTTGTGGAAATATTCAAAACAGTTCCATCAGTAACCTTATCAGGAGCCAAATGCTGAATGTACCTGGACCCCTACATCTTGTATCTCTGTGAGTAAACTGTCTCATTTGAAAACTGTCTCGTTTGAAAAACAGTAAATATGTCCAAGTCATGGATTGTTCATGCATAAATCAGTAACATACAATAAAAGCTGATGAAAAAATACAAATCAGGAACTGTAGGTATGCACTCAGAAATTTCACAAACACCCCATTTTTCATGAGAGTGTCCTCTTTGGCATGACAACGATAGGACTGGATACATATACTCATCCCTTTTATATCCAGATGATTCAGAAAATAAGGAACTAAGGATGTGAACCCAAAAAGCTTTAGATTACCTGGAATTATACATTCCCGTTAGGAAGACGCCCTCTTTCACAGGGCACTGAATTGCATCCATAGGAAAGCTCTCTTAGACTTAAGGCAAACTATTGTCCTTGATGTAATTCAGTACCCTCCAAATGATAGAGCTATTTCACCAACCCCCGTTTTTTGTCATTAGCCCTACAGACCAGCACAAAACGTCAGAATAGGTATTGTAGAGATGCTAGATTTGGGGTTCATAGTTAAAACCCCTTCAGAATACATGCACAGGATATTTTTGCCATCCCTTAAACTGCTGTTTGATTTGGGATAAAGCTCATGCACTTTGGCTGCAGTTACAGGTTCTTTCATTCTCAAAAGAGAGTATCCTTCTCTTACTATGCTTCTAAATGCAGATGAATGAGTTCAAGTTATGTCAGTGATTTGTGAAGGCCTCATACCAAGCCTTTTTCAGAAAAAAAAACACATGGACCATTAACCCAGTTTGATTTTCCCCTTTAGGCTATGCAGTCATGTCTTACCAAGAATCTCAGATTAAAAGTGGCAGGAATCTTAAGTCCAAATCTAGCAAGAAAAGAGACAACCTAATGCTACTTTTCAGTACAGTAAATATTGTCCCCAAAGAATCCGTGACTTTTGATCAAATGAATTCTTGACATTCCACTGCTTATGAACTTCAGTCTGCCTGAGGAAGCAAACCAAGAAGAATCCATATAAAGCTAAATTTAATAGTGAGGGTCACAGTCCTCTAGTAAACTGTCAGTAATGTAACTGGTCTGGAGAACATTTTCATAGTACATTTTTTCAGCAAATGTGTTGACTGTCCAAGCAACAACTTGAACTCCTTTAGATGACCACTGATGCACATAATCCCTGAAAAGAACAAGACAAAACTGATGTAACTGTATTGTGGTTTGAATACAAACAGTGCTTTCTTTTTAAAAATGTTCTCTAGTGTAGCAACATGCCCTTTTCTTGCTTATAACACACAGGTAGTCCTCCTCCCGTTTTTGATTAGCCTCAGATGTTGCATTTACTTAAATATACAGTGGAGTCTCGACCTACGGACGGCCCGACTTACGTACCATACAGTGGAGTCTCGACCTACGAACGGCCTGACTTACATACTTTTCGACGTACGTACAGTTCCAGCAGCAAAATTTCGGATCGAACGCGGCCGGAGCTTCAACGTACGGACCGAAAAGGCAGGGGGAAAGGGTGGGAAATTCAAACTGTTGGTGGCAAAGAGGCTGCTTCTTTAGCTCTTCTGCACCAACGGTTTGGAAAAGGGAGGCGATGGGAAAGCCCAACCAGAGCAAGCGAAGGGCAGCGCAGCAGCGGCGGGGAGAAGGTCTTGCTCCCCAGCCAGGGAAGCCTATTAAGGAGAGACTCCCTAGCCATCGGTGGGAACCCACCTCTCCCCTCCTACTCAGTGCCCAATACCGATGGATTTCCCCCGTCGCCGGGCCTCTTACATGCAGCCGGAAGCTGGGCTGGCCGTCCCTTGCAAGCTGGGGCTTTTTGCAGGCGAGTTCTCCCTGGCTTCCGTCACCGCTAAGGGGAATCTCCTGCTGCCCAGGGCCTCTTCGGCGCAGCGGTAACCGATGCTGGCCAGCCCTCGCCTCTGCTGATGGCTGTAGGCACGCTGGGGTGTGTGTGGCCGCCGCAGGAGGAGCAGCGGTTTCAGCAGCAGCGGGGAAGAAAGGCAGGAGCCGATCCGGCCTCTCTCCTCCACCGCATGGCTTCTTCGGAAGCGCTGCGCCCGCAGGCTCCAATCCGCCCTCTCTCCTCCACCGCATGGCTTCTTCCGAAGCGCTGCGCCCGATGGTGGTTTCGGCAGCGGCGGGGGAGAAAGGCAGCGGGGGTGGCCAGGTTCGGCGGCCAGAGCCTTGGCCCGGCAGCGGGGGTTAGAATCCAGGAGGCCTTCTGGCAGCGGGGTTCTGCTTTTTTAAAACTTTTTTTTGGTTGCAAAGACTGGGCTAAGATGTGAGTTGCAGACTCCTGCCTGTCTGTGTTTTTGGTGAAGAATTCTGTGGGTCAGGCATTCTGGCTTGCAAAGACTGGGCTAAGATGTGAATTAAGAGAGACTCCCCATGCTTTAAAATTGGCTTCGTTGAAAAAAAAATTCAAAAGTGCTTTTAACACTGTTCCCTGCCTCCCCCCTCCTTTCCTGAACTCTTCTTGACCTAAGAAAAAAAATAAAAATATATCCCCATCTAGTGGTCGAAGGAGGAATAGCAGCTTCCCATTAGTTTCTATGGACGGAAAAGAGCAGATACGGATTAAATGGTTTTCAATGCATTCCTATGGGAAATGCAGATTCGACCTACGAACTTTTCGACCTGCGGACAGCCTTCCAATACGGATTAATTACTTAAGTCGAGACCCCACTGTATGAAAATATTTACTTACAACTGAAAAACATTTACACATATCCTTGAATCAAATTTCCACATAGTTATACTTTAATCTTTTTGGGGAAAAAACTGATCTCAGATGCTATGTTTGGAACACAGTGTTCTGCCTTCTCTTTTCTAAGACTAACCCTGTGTGACATATACCTAATTCTATTCCCTCATCCTCAATATTTTGAAAAATGCAGTAAGTAGCTATGCATGGTGCAAATTACAGTAGCCTATTAAATCAAGGTGGGTTTTTTTTTACTTACTGTGAAACATAATTTTTCTGAACCAGAAAAACTGAAACTCCACACAGGTGCCACAGGAAATTGTGCATGCTCCAGTCTACAATAACATCCAAGGCCATTGTCAGGTAATGTCTCCAATAGGACACAAACCGAGGCCTTCCATCTCCAAAGTGACTAATGCTCCACGGTCTGTGAGTAAGAGCAGTGATAACATTCCTGTCAGCTTTCCTCATCTAGAAAAGCAAACAGAGAAGCTGGAATGAAAGGGGTGATAGATCCAAAGACTGATATTACAAGACAGAGTTGCAAATGGCATTTGTGATTTTAGTATTGACTTTCACATTACACAATCTGGCTACACCTGGGCATGATAGACATTTTTACAGAAAGAAATGTGACAACAAACGTACCAAGTTTCCTATAAAGATCTAGACATTTATACAGTGGTGCCTCGCTTAACGAGCGCACCGTATAATGATGAAATCGCATAGCGATCCGTTTTTTCGGATCGCTAATGCGATCGCTCAACGTTTTTTAAATGGGGAAAAATTCGCTTTGCGAAGACCGGTAAGCGTTTCGCTTACCGATCTTCGCAAAACGACCCCCGCCGATCAGCTGTTCGGCGGCCAAAATGGCCGCCGGAAGCCGGGAAATGGCCTAAAATGGCCGCACGCAGCGTTTTTGCGCCCTCGTTAAGCGAGGCGAGGGCGCGAAAATGGCTGCCGGCCATGAAGAAGCTTCGCTGAACGGTGAGTATTTGGCCTATTTGGAACGCATTAAACGATGTTTAATGCGTTCCAATGGAAATCGCTGCCCCGTTCAGCGATGCTTCAGCATAGCGAAGGTTAATCCGGAACGGATTAACCTCGCTATGCGAGGCACCACTGTACGTACTTTGCATTCTTAGGGAGAAACATTCCATTGATGAATTGGAAGCAATTGCTCTCAGGAATGGAGTGTCAGATCACTTTTGAAATAACTTTGCATTGGTGTTTTAACACCACAAGTTTTTCTTATACTGATCTTGCAATGTAGTGGTGAATGTACGCAGCATAGTACAGTGGTGCCTCGCATAGCGAGGTTAATCTGTTCCGGATTAACCTTCGCTATGCTGAAGCATCGCTGAACGGGGCAGCGATTTCCATTGGAACGCATTAAACATCGTTTAATGCGTTCCAAATAGGCCAAATACTCACCGTTCAGCGAAGCTTCTTCATGGCCGGCAGCCATTTTCGCGCCCTCGCCTCGCTTAACGAGGGCGCAAAAACGCTGCGTGCGGCCATTTTAGGCCATTTCCCGGCTTCCGGGCGCCATTGCATAGCGAAGGTTAATCCGGAACGGATTAACCTCGCTATGCGAGGCACCACTGTACGTACTTTGCATTCTTAGGGAGAAACATTCCATTGATGAATTGGAAGCAATTGCTCTCAGGAATGGAGTGTCAGATCACTTTTGAAATAACTTTGCATTGGTGTTTTAACACCACAAGTTTTTCTTATACTGATCTTGCAATGTAGTGGTGAATGTATGCAGCATAGTACTAGAAAGTATTATCCTAAATTCTACTTATGATGCTACACAGAAAAGCTGCACAATGTCCTTCTGATTGATAGTGCTAGAAGTTGTCTATCTGGGAGCCCCTTAGACCCTCAAGGCTGCTTTTTCTTTTGCATATGCACTCCATGTCCATAGAATGTAGTATTGTGTGCCCCTAACACAAATGGTACCCAAACTGAAATCCTCTGAACATCCAGAAATATGGAGGCAGTAACACAAAACAAAATGGAAAATTTACCTTATAGACAACATCTGGCATAAAAGAGCAAACGACGCTAGTGTTATATAGTTGAGGATATTCCTGGTAGAGGTGTTTTAGGGCTGCAACTGCCTGCCAGAAAACAAGTTACATGAAATATACGCAAAGCAGCAAAAGAAATTGTTACAGCCTGTGAAGTCACTGATGAAAGGAGCATTACGAGCATTATGTCAGATGCAGAACTTATTTGGTTCGCAGTTGTTAAAAGCACTTTCAGTCTTCAGAATGTTATTGTCTGTGAAGTCACTGATGAAAGGAGCATTACAAGCATTATGTCAGATGCAGAACTTATTTTGGTTCGCAGATGTTAAAAGCACTTTCAGTCTTCAGAATTTTATTGTATTGGCATTTTTGCAGTGTGTAGCAGAAGATAAAAGCAAAGCAAAAAAAGCAGAGTGTGCTCCTTATATGTTGCGCCATAAAACTTAAAGCACTCTCTGGGCAGTTTACAAGTTTATTATGCAGGTTCCACATTACCCCCCAGCAAGCTGGTATTCATTTTAATGACCTGGGAAGGACAGAAGGCAGAGTCAGCCTTGAGCTGGCTACCTGGGATTGCACCCCAGGTTGTGAGCAGTTTTGGCTGCAGTACAGCAGTTTAACCACTGCATCACGGGGCATATCTTGCAAAAGAATGTCACTGGTATAGTGCAAACCCTGGTATAGTATGTCCTAATGTTGGTTGGCACACTGCCTGGCTTCATTTGGAGAACACACCTGTAAGAATGGCCTGTAGCTCATGGTAGAAGGTTCCATGTTCAATCCCTGGCTGTGCCACTTAATTCAAGTATTATTGTTTCAGTAGCACGGCTGGGGAAAACCCTGCTCTATCGCTTTAGAGAGTTACTGCCTCTTGAAATAAAAGCGTCTAGACCAGTGGTTCCCAACCCTTGGGTAACCCAGGGGTTCTTGGACTGCAATTCCCAGAAACCCCAGCACAGCTAGTGATGAAAGAAAGCTGGGAAATGCAGTCCAAGAACCCCTGGCTTACCCAAGGTGGATCAAGGGTCTATTGCTGTATTAGGCAACTTTATAAGTACAAATTTTATACTATAAGTACACATCTATATTTTGCTAAAAACTGGTTGCTGTTTCCCAAACAGCTTCTTTAACTCATTCTATGAGGTATAGAAAAATAACATTTGAGCTTATTTTAAGTAGTTTTTCCCATGAAAACTTACATTAAAAATAAAAATAAAACATGCTTTTAATTATAGCCAGTCACTCCAGTCAAGATGGGAAAAAACAAGTGGTTGAAAACTGCATTAACATTTTATCAAGAAAGAGCTCTGTCTTTTATAGGCTCAAGGGAATGACCACTACCATGAGTTGTTCTCAGAATCTGAGGCTTCACACTGGAAGAAAAGCGTACCTGATCAGCGTGGCCCTTCACATCAAAATAGATTATGAGGTTGTAACGTATACTTTCCAAAACAGCTTCTTCCAATGTTGGTATTTTTATCCCACGATAATCCCTCCTACAAAAAAAGAACAAGAAAACTTCAGTACTGTAGTGTGTATTTAGCCCAGAAAAAGGTACTGTAAGCATCAAAAAAGGTACTGTAGTTCTATCCACACACTCTCCAGCCATATTCCAGAGTATGGTTTTGGACACCATAAAGATTTCTGACACTGTAAATTGGTCTTTAAGGTACCATAAGACCCAACTATCTGTCCAGAAGCTGTAATGCAGAGAACACTGAGCAGATGTCCCACATTAAAGTCAATGTGAACAGTTATGTCTCTTTACAGGACCTTAATAATGAAAGATAGAATCACAGAAGTTTTTCCCAAAGTATCAAACTGACTTTACTTTATATACCATTACATTTTATTGTTGACATCTGTACTTTTGGATGCAAAGGGATATCATATGGCTATTACTTCTGCAATTATCCTTTTGAGAAAAAATCTGGTTGCAAGAAGGAACCATCTGTGTTGGCCTGTTTCTCTAAAATAGAATGGTTCTGTTTCTCCACATATTTTCTACAAAGCCTTCTTAAGCTGAGACAGAACAACCCAAGATCAGCCTATAGGTTTCAAAGCAGACTAGGGACTTGAAGCCATATCTCATGGGAACCAGTTCTCCCCAATCCAATACAGTGGTGCCTCGCTTAACGAGCACACCGTTTAACGACGAATCTGCATAGCTTACCGATCTTCGCATTGCAATGTTAGGGAAACAGCTGATCGGCGGTTCCAAAATGGCCACCGAATCAAGGAAATGGCCGCCCGCAGCATTTTCGCACCCTGCCCTCGCTTACCAAGGCAGCGAAAATGGCGGCTGGATGGGGAATCTTCGCTTACCGGTGAGTTTTCCCCCCATAGGAACGCATTAAGCGGAGTTTAATGTGTTCCTATGGGGTTTTACGTTCCGTTTAGCGATGTTTCCGGAGAGTGACGTTTTTCCTGGAACGGATTAACGTCGCTATGCGGGGCACCACTGTATTATAGCACTATACATTAACGTCGCCATGCGGGGCACCACTGTATTATAGTACTATACACTGGCATATTTAAGTGAAAATAAATTCTACTGATTACTGCGGCATTTCCTTCAAAATATACCTGCACAGAATCAAAATAAATTCTACTGATTACTGCGGCATTACCTGCACAGAATCATGCTACAGTGGTACGCCCCTTAACGAGCACACTGTTTAACGACGAATCCGCATAGCGATGCGGATTTTGCGATTGTTTTTTACGATCGCATTGCAATATTTTAATAGGTAAAACATCGCATTGCGATGATCGGTAAGCGTTTCGCTTACCGATCTTTGCATTGCGATGTTTTAGAAACAGCTGATCGGCGGTTTCAAAATGGCCACCGGATGAAGAAAATGGCTGCCCACGTTTTCGCGCCGATTCCTCACTTAGCGAGTCGGCGAAAATGGCGGCCCTATGGAGGATTCCCGCTTAGTGCTGAGTTTGCCCCCCATAGGAATGCATTAAATTGAGTTTTTCTCCCATAGGAATGCATTAAACGGAGTTTTTCTTTTCGTATAGTGATGTTTCCGGTTAGCGACGTTTTTCCTGGAACGGATTAACATCGCTATGTGGGGCACCACTATATAAGAGAATGAAAGGAAAAGACTGTGTTTCTGAATACTGAGGAGTGGTTTTCTGGATTGTTTTCTTACCATAATCTATGTTTAGCAGCTGGATTAAATTTTCTAATCTCAGCAAATGTCAAATCACGTAAACTTCCGGATCCATCCGTGGTCCTGTCTACTGTGCTGTCATGCATCAGGATAGGAATGCCATCAGCAGTGAATTCAATGTCAATTTCCACACCTGTTGCTCCATTCTCAGCTGCCTTAATAAATAAAGACAAATTTCTTTAAACTGGAAAGTAACAATATATGTTTTGCATTTTAATGTACATTTCACTAACATCACACTGAAAGGAAAAAAATAGAACATGTCTATAAGCCATGGCTAAGCTTTTCTATAGAACTTCTAGCAGCTTTAAATATTAACCAAGATAACTCTCTGGCAAATTGTGGTTGCCAAGCAATCTGTAAAAGCTCCTATCCTCCACGGAGAAACACCTTTCAGAAGGTGCTACTAAAGGTTTTGCAACCTATCCTCCTGACCGTTGCTCTAATGAGTTCCCTGAGGTTATGAATCCCATCCCCACCCCCGTTGTTTAATAAGAACAAAACCAAAGGTGAGGTTATCTGGAGATTAATAATTAAATGTCTCTAATAGGTGAGTAAGAACATCCAGTCTATTATTTTTGTCCCACCTGGATTCTGGGGATAGAATGAAAACACCAGCTGGGCTGTGATGGCGGGGCCAGGTCCTCTCCCATGGGCTCCATTGACTCAGCAGGTGGGTTAACAGGTGCAGCAGGTATTATTGAGACAATAAACTGTTTACAGAGGTTCTTTTCACTGGTTCCAATTAGTCATTTGTCCTGGGCCCTGGTTAGGTTCACTGGACTCTATCCTTAACAGTCCATAGCTGGGACTGAGTTGACGTCACCAGCTCCAGCATCTGGGCCCTTTTCAATAACAGCTGGTATGCCTGGGCAGAAACTGGCACTCTAGCCACAGCTCCTCCTCCCTCTCCTGAGCCAACTGCCCCAACCAATGGTGCTGGTGGCGGTGCCTTAAGTGTTTTTTTTGAGTGAGGAGGGGACACCTTTGTTGGGGTGCTAAGGGAAATGCAGACTGTCTCCCAGCTGGTCCTGGCTCATTAGCTCCCAGCCTCTGGTGAGTTAATACACCAGCCTAGGGGGCCAGAATACAAAGAGGGACAGCCACCTCCCCTCCCAGGAAGCAGAACATCAATTATTGGTCCTCCAGCCAGTCTAGCCAGCGCCACTCCTCTTCCTCCTTTATTTCCCCCCTCCCTAGCTGGTCCCACCTGCTCCTTCCAGACTGCCAGCTGCCCCAGACCTTTTCCCTTGGGCCTGTCATTCCTCCGCCTTCCTCTCCTTCTCCTCCCACAGGTGTCCGTGGTATCCTCCTTCAGGATGCTTTAGATACGGGGGTCTTGGGGAAGTCCCGTGGATGAGGGAGACGGCCTGCTTGGGACAGCAGCACTGCCCCTCTTATAGATGGACTCAGTGGGCTTTCATGCACTGTGACTTAGCCCACATGTGGCAGAAATGCTTTTGATCAACAGGAAGAGCGGCAATGATCTACAATTTTTTTAGAAGTTGTCTGCTTCACAGATAAAATGTGCTATTTATTATGTATTTTGATGTGCTGAATTCAAATATGACAATCAAAACAACTGTTTAGTTACTGTTTTCAATATATTTAAGTTTTTATATTTTATGTCTATGTATACTGTATACATAATAGTTTTTATCATAAATTGTACACCTTGGTCTTTTCATGTGTTTACAGTTGTTCTACATTATAAAATGTAATTTTATAATGTAAAACAACTCCTCCCACAATAGTTTTTATCATAAATTGTACACCTTGATCTTTTCACATTTCTAAACACATTTTATAATGTAAACCAACTCCTCCCACACGGGCAAAATTAATCCTTCTTCCCCTTCTCCCTCTCTCCCTTCCATTAGGCAGATTTCAATCTTCTCCTCTTTCCCCTTTGATTCCTTCCTTTCCCCCTCCTCTACATTCAACTCCTCACTTTCTCTTGTCTTCCCTACTTCTATATCTCTTTTCTGCTCAGACGGCTCTACCTGAGGGGACGGCTCACTCTGTTCGTTCTCCTTTGGGTTTACCGCTCCTTCACAACAGGTTAGCTCTACCTCTGAAGGCTCAGAAATACTTTTGAGGCTTAGAAACACCAGCATGCAATATTGGATCGCTCCTTCCCAGGCTGTTTATACATATACGATATGGCAGGATATGGCATTCTTTGAGGAGTGTTTGCTGGTATAAAATGTTTCTTTTAAGGTGCTATGCTGGGGCCTGTATGCTGAGATTATTCAACCTACAATAAACCTTGCTTATATCTGAAGTTCACTACTTCTTATCATTGTTAAAGGCATATGTTGGGCTGTAGCTCCCCCAGATGTTGCCAGGCTGACTTTGTAACTCCTCATCATGTGTTGCGCTGGGAGAAGTCAACAGGAATCCAAAACATCCGCTCTATGATTCCCCCCCTCCTTCTCCTTTACTCTCTGCCTTTCTTGTCTCCAGATCTGGCAGGTGGAACTCCATCTTAGTGTAAATTCGGTATCTAGGCTAGAACAAATAAGAGTATATAGGGCAAAAACACATTCTGCCTTAAGGTATTAAGAATATTTGCACTGCGTTAATTAACACATTGGAGGATCTACTACTGCTAAGTAGAAACACTTTAATGAAAAAGGTATTGATAGTAATTTATGGTTGAACCGTATTAGAAACTCTTTGGGGGGGGTTGTCCTTTTTAGAAAAGCAAAGCAAGACTGAACTAGCAGAACGCAATGCTATTTTACTTTTTTTTAATAGAGAAAAAAGCATGCAATGTGCT